ATATCATGCATCTAAAGAGTTAACTATATTGTTTAGTATATCTGTCAAAACTAACAGATACATCTATACTAATATTATAAGGAGAAAATACTTTTTTTGTTTGTTTGTTTCTACCATATAAGCTCCGAAACTACTGAACCGATTTAGATGAAATTTGGTAAGAAGACTCATCAAACTGGATGAGTTTTTATCCTGAAAATCATCCCTAAGGGTGTGAAAATGGGGATAAAAGTTTGTATGGACTAGCAACCTTGGGATGACCCCAGCGAGCAAGGGTGAGTCTCTAGTGCTAAATAAAATATTGGCGAACATTGTTAAAATAGAGCTAACAAAGCATTGTCCATATCATATAGAGAATGTGCTAAAATATTGCGTATTCACGATCAAGGTAGGAAGTAAAGGCGTGTTCGTTACGCAACACGAACACATAACACGCTTTTAAACATACTTTTACACATTTTGTATTGGAGGTCTTAAATAATTATCTTCAAATTGTAATACCTATAGTGGAGGCTAAAAGAATGATAATATGAAAAATAATTTTTAATTAGATTTCTAGTTCGCACCTACGGAAGTCTAAAAAACGGTCTAAAGTTAATTTAATAAATAAGTTAATAGTTTTTATTTAGGTTTTTGGTTAGCGCATGCTTTGTTGTGTTACGGTGAAGGAAAACATCGTGAGGAAACCTGCATGTCTGAGAGAACTTAGTAAGTTGGCTCGCACTTGTCCAGCGCGGTAGACTATGGCCTGATCCCCCTCGTATTGAAGGGAGGCCTGCTCGGAATGCTAATAAAGCAAAAAAGCCACACATTTTTCAACCGACTCGACTAATTTTATAATGATGAAGTCAATTTTTTTTGGAAAATGTAACCTATTATAGTAAAAGCTACATCTAAATTCGTTCAGTAGTTATTTAGATTAAACCCGCTTAGACTCAGAGATGACTTCCTTTTATATGTAAGAAGATAACTAGCGACACCTCCTCATTATATCCAATAAATTTTCTCATCGTACAAATAACCCACAGGCGTTAGTGTATACTGGGATAATCATGTTAAGGGTTAGATACTTTTTGTTTGTAGAAAAGTATCTTCTAAAGATAAAAAGTAGCTTTTAACACTCAGAGCCTAAAATTACTACCAATGCAAAAAAAAACACTTTGATTCATTTCTCTGTTTCGGAAATAAAATAGATAAACTGATAAATCACTTTCATGTTTATATATATATATATATATATATATATATATATATGTAAAGTCAATTAACAATTTTACGTGTACTTTTGCATGTTACGTATTACCACAGATCATATAATATTATACTAGTAGTATTACGTACGTACGTAGGTATTTCCTTTTGTCTTAAATTGTAATGAAACCTTTAAGAGCGCCATTTGTCTACAGATCCCTAAAAAAGATCTAAGTAGATAAGACGCGACTATATCTATAATATATAGATAAATAAAATTGAAGTGTTATGTGTGTTATGACGACACGTTTGGCTCAGTTGGTAGTGACCTTACTTGCTGTGCCAGCGGTCGCGGGTTCGAGTTCCACTGGAGGCATTCGTTTGTGTGATGAGCACGTATGTTTGTACTCCAGTCATGGGTGTTTATATTTATAATATGTTTGTATTTAAAATTATATATGTACACATGTATGTATGTATCAAGTATCTGGTATCCATAACACAAGCCTCGTAGCTTACCATGGAACTAGATGGCGCTGTGTGTTAATGTCCCAACATTTATTATTTATTATTATATTATTATCATTTGTAATATCAAAATAACGGTTTTTTAATAAATGCATGTCCGCTTGTTTCGGCTAATCTCCGAAACGGCTGGACCGATTTTGACGGGAATTTCACGGGTAGATAGCTGATGTTATAAGAAGTAACTTAGGCTAATTTATTCTAGAAAAATAATTAGGGTTCCGCTCAAAAATTTAAAAGATACCCGGGCGAAGCGAGGTTAAGTCGCTAGTTACTAAATAAGCGTTTGCATTTCTCTGAAGATGTAGACCATGAAGAAGAAGCCGAGGCCAACTTCCACATTTTTCTTGCCACTTTTTTAATAAATTTAATTAAGGGCACATTCATATTTTTATATATCTTTTAGTATTATTACTTAATCTTATTTTATAACAATGACTTCATGATATAAAAATAAATAAAATCCAAAACTATCAACGAATTAATCATTTTACCCTTACAGTAGAATTCATACTGTTGATTACTCGTCGACTCTTTACGCCTTATGTTAGCAGACTTGCCTTTTTTTACCTAGCAAGTTTTCGAAAAACATGTACTTACCTATATTTTATAGTCCGCCAACCTGCAGCTGACCAACGTGGTGGGCTATCTCCTGATCCTCCTCGCAATCCTTAATACGAGGGAGGCCCGTGCCTTGCAGTGGGACATAAAAAAAGGTCTAAATAAAAACATTTATCAGATGACGCTATATGACATTCTCGGCAAGAGAGCAGATGGAAAAAGGCTTTTAAAATATAATTAGTTATAAACAAATGATTTTTGTTCTCAGAAAGACTCCTGTATACATAGATACACAAACTAAATATACGAAAATTGCTCATTTAAATGTCGTGAGACAAAATAATTAACTTCTAAAATTATATAATTCCTACTCTTTAGAATTGGTTAGAAATAATTTTAAAATTTAATCAAATATTATTTTGTAGTTAACATGTAAGTTCGTTTAATTGGCCTTGCAAGTACATATTGCAGAATGTAAAAAAATAAATTTCTACACTTTATGATTATGGGCAAACTCGCATTCCAAAAGATCCTCGATAAAAATATTTTTAACCTTCATATATTATAAGTATTTGTATTATAAAATTATTTTTACCTATATACATAACTAGCGACTCACCCTCGCTTCGCTCGGGCTCGTCCCTAGCTTGCTTCTCAATACATATTTTCATCCCCATTTTCACCCCCTTAAGGGATGATTTCCGGGATAAAAAGTATCATATATCCTTCCCAGGGTCTCAAACTATCTTTTTACCAAATTTTATCTAAATCGATTCAGTAGACCCATAGATTACCCTCTTACAACGTCACAAACTCACAATCTCACAAATTCACAAACTACCTCCTTACAATATTAGTATAGATGTATTTCTTAAATATTACGTCAAGATGTAAAATATAGAACAATAAAGATAACTATTAATTTCAACTATAAGTGCAGGAATATATTGTTTAACATCCCACTGCTGGGCACGGACCTCCCTTCAATGCGAGGGGAATTACCGATCAGATCATAGCCCACCACGCTGGCCAAATGTGGGCGGTTATCATATTATGTCTTTCGAAAACTTGATGAGTTCTCTCAGACATGCTGATTTTAGAAGGACTTTATTAAGACAGAATTATTTTTATATGATGATGATGATGTTCTCCTAGCCGATTCCGGCCACGGCGGCCAATCTCATTGAGAGTAGCCAACTGCGCAGGACATATTATAGTGCACAAGTGTACGCGCAGACACAAGTGCACTCTCTATCCCTGTAACTCTCATATTCCGGTGGGACGACTGCTCGACACAACCAGTGAGAGTTAAGGCGCAGGACCGACGGCTTTACGTGCTCTCCGAGGCACGGGGGTGAAACACTGCCAACTTCCCAACTCCGGGCTGTTACTGAGACTTACTATACAGGAAGACTCAATAACTAAACTTGGCCCGACCCGGGACTCAAACCCAGGACCTCCGGGTATGCAGCCGTACATGCTAGCCACTACAACACCGAGGCAGTATAATATATACTATGTATAAAGTGCAAAAATGGTTAGAACAAAGCAGGGCCTAGATATTTGTATTGTATAATAACAAATATGTACGACCATGTAATTTGTAATTGGTGTGACTATTATATTTCACACCGATACTGTTAAAGCTATTACTACTTCTTGTGTGATATGGCACGACATTGACATTCATTTCTATAGACGTAAATATTCACTACATTATTTGTTTACCGGTTTTTGTGTATGAGAAGTTTTACTACATAAGTAATCTATACATATAATAAAATTGTAACTAAGCCGAATCTGTACATTAAATATTTTTTGGAAAATCTTATTGAAATAGACATTACTATCGATACAGAGGCCGAATCTATAGTTTTTAGAATTTTTGTCTGTCTGTCTGTCTGTCTGTCTGTCTGTCTGTTACCGCATCACGGAAAAACCACTGGAGGGATTTTGATGAAATTTAGTATGATGATAACTGGTTATCCGGGTCAGCATATAGGATACTTTTTACCGCGGGAAAATACAAAAACTGCAATGTAAGAGTATACTAATATGTAAAACCTAAGAATTTGGTTTTTGGTCATCTGAACGCGGGCGGAGCCGCGGGCAATGCTAGTCTATAATATAATAAACAGTAATTTAACGAAATCGATGAGCGCGTTTCAAGCAAAAAGTACTGCCCAGATTTTAATTAAATGTGTAGCAGCAATAAGAAATGTACGGTAAAACTATAGTTTTAAACAAGTTTTAATCTAGTTCAGTTAGATCGCACATCAATTTTCCTATCTATTAATTGATTACCGTTTACTTAATTTTAATTGGGCTAATTTATGATTTGAGGATTTAATTTATATGTCATTTTGCGTACCTTGAATATATTATGTATCTTTGTAAAAGTGTACGAATGAAACTTAACCGTTTTTAACCATATATTATAAAATATACATCAGCTAGCAGAGAGATAGAGTTTGTCAGCTAGAGTAGCTATCTATCTATGAATACGCAGTACCACTGCCTCGGTGGTTTAGTGGCTAGCATGTATATCTCCACATCCAGAGGTCCTGGGTTCAACACCCGCGTCGGGACAAGTTTAATTAACAGCTTGGAGTTGGCAAGTTGTCTCACCCTCGCGCCTTAACTGTAAACAAAACGGTGGGATTAAGGGTGTATTATTTTAAGTTGGTTCTTTGAAGTTAATACGTAATTATTATTATTTGCAGGACAAACAGACAGGCGATTCAAAATCAGCGCAAGAGATCCGCGAAGGAGACACAGTGAGAGGCTACTACAGCTTTATGGACCCGGATGGGAAAAGACGCACAGTACACTACACGGCTGATGATAAGCAAGGGTTCCGAGCTACAGTTCAACGATCACATTAGCTTAGTAAATTATATAAAGATACTTACTTAAAGAGTTGGAGAAAAGAAAGTGAGATGGTTCTTTCTCTTACTCTCCTTTTCTCCTTTAAATAGAGAAAAGCTGTAAATACAATATGTAGTATAATAATATGTATATAGTGGTACTGTATTCACCGAATGAACCAAGCACTGAGATTTTGCGCTTCCACGTGATTAGTTGCAGATAAGACGCTTAGGCCGCGATCACAATGCAAGTTATAAATAGTCCGTCGTAGCATTCCGTACCGTTCAAACGTCTCTCGTGTAGTTACCTGATTTGTTATCAATGTAGGAGATGACGATGATACGTCGGAAAGTAAAAATTAATAAATAATTTATATAAATATTTAAAAATACAGTTAATTTTACTTTAATGTTGATTTTATTTGTACGTTGATTTTATTTTATTACAAATTATTAATAATTTCTCACTAAAGCATTAGCAACATGAACGAACCCTATGATTTCAAACCAGTTGCAAGTGTTAGTGGGCGGAGCTAGACAGTTTTCCGTCCTTATCTGTTTGTATCCTAATTTGGGACAGAGAAAGCGCTTTGCGTGGTTCACTCCGTGAATAGAGTATAGTGTATTAAATATTTTTTTAACTTTATTAAATTAGTGAGCCGAGCTGAGTTAATTAAAATCGGTCAAGTGCGAGTCGAATTCGCACACAAAGGGTTCCGTAACATCGTACATGTACTTTTACTAATATAACTTTTACTGTATATCAACTTCGATGATCGATTGCGAACGTTAAAAAAAAATTCTTATATTTTTATTTATTTTTATTATTTCTTATTATAGCGGCAATAGAATTATATACTCTGTAAAAATTTCAATTTGTTTGTTTGTTTGTCTGATCAAAGTCACTAAAATCTTAATTTTATTAGTTTAAATTAAATGAATGGGTATTGTGTTGAATGTAGTGTAAATACTAAAAACCTCTTTAGTATAAGTTCTTTTTTATTCTTTTAATAAACGTTTTAAATATAATGATTATTAATATAATTATTTTTGTCACCTACTCCCCAAAACAAATTAAGGAATTTAGAATGGATCTTAAAATTGGGATAATATTTTTGTTCTGTCTTATGTGAATTCTGATTTATGTGGATATTTGATTTTTATTTAAACTACCTTAGCGGATGTGGTCGCGGTTTTATTTTGACTTCTATCTATACATTTAATAAAATTTTAATTAAGCCGAATCTGTACATTAAATATTTTTTGGAAAATCTTATTGAAATAGATATTATTATTATCGGGAAACTTTGAAAGCACTCTATGTGACCGCATGAGGAAAGCTTTCAAAATAACGGAGAACTGGTGCTTGAAACATGAGCTCTCCGTTAATCCCATGAAAACAGAATTGATCATGTTCACAAACCGAAGAGTACTCGGACCCTATAAACTTCCGAAACTCTTCAAAACTGAAATAAAACTAAAAGAATCAGTCAAATACTTAGGTGTAATCCTAGACAGTAAACTGCTATGGAATAAGCACCTTGACTACAAACTTAATAAATCAACCATTGCATTCTATCAGTGCAAAAGAATGCTAGGCAAAAAATGGGGGCTCTCGCCGAAAATAACTATGTGGCTATACACGGCGGTAGTTAGACCAATGCTAACCTACGGGGCCTTGGTTTGGTGGACCAGAACGGAACTCCGGACTGTAATCACGAAACTAGGACGCTTCCAAAGGCTGGCATTGTCTGCTACCAGTGGCTGTATGAAAACGACTCCTACAGCAGCCATAGAAATAGCACTCCAAACAACACCCCTGGACCTATACATACAGCAAGAGGCGACCATGGCTGCCATAAGGCTGATGCACTTAGGTCTATGGGGGAAAAACAACAACAGTCCACACACATCCATATTGGACAGAGCAATAAAGCAACTACCGCTTATTGCTACCCCGTGTGATAGAACATATAACAAACACATCTTCAACAAAAAATTTAACATAAACATGATTGAAGAGAAAATAGACCAACCAGCAGCCAACGAGCTACGAATTTACACTGATGGCTCCAAAACGCAGAGTGGCTCTGGAGCTGGGATATTTTCCCTCGATCTCAATGTCAACATACACATACCATTAGGCATACACAGTTCGATCTTCCAATGCGAATGTGTAGCCATAACGGAAGCCGCAAGGGCAGTGCAAAGACGGGAGGTAAATAATTATACCATAAAAATCCTCTCCGATAGCACTGCCGTTCTGCAGGCGTTAACAAACAAACAAACAAACAATAAATTAATAATTGAGTGTCACCATGCCCTCGATACAATAGCACTGACCAATCAAGTCACTGTTCAATGGATCAAGGGCCACAGCGGCTCACTAGGCAACGATGCAGCTGACGAACTTGCAAAGAAAGGATCGAGGTTAGAAGTAACTGGCCCATACCCACTTCTTCCTCTACCTTTTTCACAGGTTCGCACCTGGATCCGCCAAAGAACGCTGACGCTTCAAAATAAGAGATGGTCGCTAACGACAGACTGCAGGCAAGCTAGATCAGCATTGCCCGCAGTCAACCCACGTCTCACTAAACGCCTACTAAACTTAAATAGAACCAACCTAAAAATAATGATAGGGACAATAACGGGCCACTGTCCCTTAAACAAACACTTATTTAACATTGGCGCAACGGACAGCCCTCTCTGCAGAGGGTGTTTTAGCGCTGTAGAATCAGTCGCTCACGTAGTCCTGGAATGCGTAGCGGTAACTTCCCAACGAAATGAAATCCTCGAACCGGTGAGGTCGCTCCGCGAAGCCTGTGAAGCTCCCAGGAAGCTTTTGCGCTTTTGGACGGAGTTAGGCTGGCTGAACTAGCCAGGATTCGCAACGTACAACGGACCAAATGCGAGTCTAAGTGCGGAAAACGAGTCCAATATACAATACAATACAATACAATAGATATTATTATCGGTACAGAGGTCGAATCTATAGTTTTTAGAATTTTTGTCTGTTTGTCTGTCTGTTACCGCAACACGGAAAAACCACTGGATGGTTTTGATGAAATTTGGTATGGTGGTAGCTGGTTATCCGGGTCAACATATAGAATACTTTTTACCGCGGGAAAATATCTCATTTCTGAGAAAAAATACAAAAACTGCAATGTAAGATTATACTAATATGTAAAACCTAAGAATTTGGTTTTTGATCATCTGAACGCGGGCGGAGCGGCGGGCATTGCTAGTACATATAATAAAATTGTAACTAAGCCGAATCTATACATTAAATATTTTTTGAAAAATCTTATTGAAATAGACATTATTATCGGTACAGAAGCGGAATCTATAATTTTTAGAATTTCCAACATGAATACACTTGTCTTACGGTGAAGGAAAACATCATGAGGAAACCTGCATGTCTGAGAGAACCGAGCAAATTTTCGAAAGACATGTGTCGTCCGTCAACCTGCACGTGACCAGCGTGGTGGAGTATAACCACGTGCCCAGCCGTGGGAAAATACAAAGATACTAGCGGACCCGACAGACGTTGTCCTGTCTACACGTCTTTAATTTGAAAATTTCAAACTTTTTTTAATAATTTTTTTGATGAAAATTATTATTCAAATTGTGAATCTAAACCATTCCCAGATCCCCTTGAACACACACAAAAAATTTCATCAAAATTGGTCCAGTCGTTTAGGAGGAGTTCAGTCACATACACACGCACACAAGAAATATATATATTAAGATGAGAAGAATGTTTTATTTTTGCTTTCTAGACGATATACGATTTTCGTGTTACTGTATATTCCTATATATGCCACAGTAAAATTCTAAGCGACCATTTCTTAAATACTTAGATATTTATTAGCAGAATCATAAAAGAATAACATTGCTATTAAGAAAAATTACTAGCGCCTTATAATTTTTTTGTAGCAATTTTTACATTGTTGCACGTATCGCGAACTAACTGGTACTAATAATAATATTAATTAAAAAAAAACAATTGTACACACAACAGACAGATATGAAGACAAAATCAATAAAGTGGTAGGAAAGTACACAAGAGGCGGCCTTATCGCTAAAACAGCGATTTCTTCCAGACAATCTTAACGTGTAGAAAATAGCAAAGTGTGAAGTGGAAGGGGTTTGAACACATAGCAGACTTATAAATAAAATGGTATATACATACAGATATACATGCCTACATATGATCTATATAACTACTATTATAGTATTAGAATGCTTGTAGGTCTGTGAGTGTATGTTTGTTTTTCTTTCACGCGGAATCAGCTGGACAGATTTGGATGAAATTTAATACTCAATATAGACTATGTCCTGGAATACCACATAGGCTACTGTTAGGCACCTAGGGTCGAGACAAGGATGAGTAACTAATAAAATAATATATTGATAATTATTTATTATTAAAATACTTATGAACAAAACGTATTTTAGTGTGTCAAGGCGAGAAAAAATATATTTTTAGTTAATCTACACAGATAAAATTATAAAATTGAAGTGTCTGTTCTTGTGTAATGTCAAAATAACAGCGTTTTACTAAATGCGTATGAAATTATATACGGTACTTATAAGAAAAACACATTTTTTATTTTTTTGTCTGGCTGACTCTCTGTCTGTCTGTTTGTTCCGGATAATCTCTGAAACGGCTGGACTGATTTTGACGGGACTTTCACTGGAAGATAGCTGATGTTACAGGGAGTAACATAGGCTACTTTTATTTTAGAAAAAAATTAGGGTTCCGCTCAAAAAAATTAAAACGTACCTAGAGACGAACCCGAGTGAAGCGAGGGTGAGTCGTTAGTAATAAAAAAATTTTTACGCTATTGGTTTATAACTTTTTTATATAATATATAAATACTACCTTTGTAGGATTTTTTAGAATATTAAAAGATAACATGTCTACTGTACAGGATTCGAACCTGTGACCCTGCTATTTAGTACCAATCAAATCCAAACTGGACACGGTATTAATTTAAAAGACATTATAAATA